CTTCTTTCTGAGGGTATCTTTTTTTGCTGGAACAAATGTTAACATAATACAGCACAAGCAAAAGTGATAAGTGATGTGTTGGCTGGAGAGAAGTCGACGAGGCTGGTTAGCTGTCGGGTGTGTATCATTATCGCGTTTCGCTATACAGAGAAGAGTTATGGGACTTTTCTGTAGTGAGGCTGACTACGACATTTCCTTACTCGAAGGCTGCCAATCCTGCCTTAACAGCCTTCTGCAGCAATTGGCAGTAGTTAGGAGTGGTACCAGCATCCTCGGTGTACTCGAAAGTGTGATGAAATGTCTCCTTCTGTATACCCAAATTATACAGAGGAGAACACGACTGTCCCCTTGTATTCAGTCCATCTCAGATAATCAGCTGAATCGCTACCCAGTTCCTGTCGGGTTTCACTCGGTGGCTTCGAGCTGCCGTTGGCACAGTATTAGTACCCGTAGCTCCAGCGCAAATCCCCCGCTTTTGTCCTTGTTGTACTCACAATATCGGATGTTATCAATCCCTCGCAAGCCCCTGCATTCTCTCCTGTTGCGGCCTTTACGGCACCTCAAGGAATCGACAAGGATTTCATCCTTTGTGACTACACTGATGCGAACAGGGAGTTTTTCATTACGGGCCAAATTGGCATTCAAGTAGACATCCGCATCGAAGAGAGATCCACGACGGGATAATCAACAGCGGGTTGAGGCTTGCTCTCATTCGCAACTATGCAGTTGACGGTTTGAGAACGTGCAACATGGGGGGGAAATATAAAGAAAATGATAACGTATAGCGGGTTGCATAATCACCAGCGTGCACATCTTCTACCGTAAGTTTGTATGTTGGAGTGCTCGCCTCTGTTTGAAGCCCGTACAGTGCGACGAGGCAAACGGCTGCAGTCGTTTTGTAAAGGGGAGTCACTGATTTGGATTTATTTAGCTTGTCTTTCTATTCAAGTCCTCGTGTGCACCGGGGAACCATCAGATTTGTGGCAGGCCCGCCTCTCGGGGGGCTACCGGCCCAGAGATAGGCGACAAGCTCGACAAGCCCAGGCTTCTCCTTACTTGTCATTCACA